TCAATCTTCCATTAAACCTTCAAGAACAACAATGGCAGAATGTTTTCATGTAAGAACACTTAGAGAAGGAGAGAGAGAAAGTCAACTCTTCAATAAATGGTCAAACTGTATTACGTATCCTGAATGTTTACAATGAAGCTCTCTACTCAAATTACAAGACATCACCCTTTATATAGGGTCAAACAACTAAACAAGGTCAAAGTCAAACTATCCTATGAAAAGTCAAACACGATGACTTTTATACAATTATAGACAATTTTATCTTTCAAGACGAATACAAGTTAACACTGATTTTCAGTCCTAACACCTATGTTTCTTTTCATTCACTGATATATATCTCTCTTAATTATTTATCAGCTAATATGCTTTCAGTGACGTACTTCTTAGCTATGTAATTTCATTTCCTCACTTGTAATCTTTTACAAATAAATGAAAATCAACAAAGTACTCTCTGACATTGAAAAAGATCCCATAAACAGTAAATAGGACATGTATCTTACAAGTTCCTTTTTTTCACTATAATAGATAGTAATTTTCTTTATGTTGCTTTGTTATCATCAAATAGATGGAGTGTGTTGATCCAAACTCTCTCGGTGATTTGATGATGACCCTTCATACTTAGTGTAAAATGCTTGTTCTGTTTTTTATTCAGTTTCAGCGCTCATCTCTAAGTCTGTTCAGCGATCGCTGAACATGTATTGTGAACGTCTTAAAGTACAAGTATTCTCCAAAGACAACACTCACGCCAAAAGAATCTTTAGTGATGTCGAATAAGTAGCTGAAGAAAGAGACATTACAGTTCATGATCTGAAGTGGATTCAGTGATAACAGAATGTCTAAATCAAAGTATGAAATCTGACCAAGATCCAACGAACACTGAAGAGCCTTTAGAGATGAATCAGTGTCAGCGATCAAATGAATTTTTCTCTGCAAGGACAACCCCATACCTCACACAGTAAGGTACACGTACGAAGTTACTTTATTGTCTCCAAACGTGCTTACCAACTTTGTGAAAAGTAACTATTCATATATGGTCAAAAGCCTCTATGTATGAAGATAAAGGATAAGCTCTCTATTAGAAGTTCGTCACATGGCTTGTACCCTCTAACTTGCATTAAATGCAATGGGTAAAAATAGCTAAGAACATCTTTCTCTCAGAATGTCGTCTTCTTCTTCTAACTCTCTTCTCTCTTGTTTTTAACCTTCTTTGTGCATTAATATGTCTTTCTTAGATTGTTTAGATTAGGTCTTTACCTTATCTTTTTCTGCAACAATCTATAAATTATGTATTGATATTCTTTTATTAGTAAAAAGAATTTAAAAAGTGAAAATTTGTGTGTTTGTATTCAATCTCCCCTTTACAAACTGTAACCCTTAAAACTCTTGTAGATCCGTTTGGGACCAACGGTCATCTTGCTAATTGGATCTTGATTCTGATAAGCAAATGATGCAAGAGTTGAGGAGCAACATCTTCAAGTTTAAGTTTTGGAACAAATGGTTTTACCTTTTTTTGGTACTTGATCATTAACAATCTGGCTCTACAGGTGGCCAAATGCACACAAAAAATCCGACACTGAAAGAGAGATTTTGGCATGTCTTTTCCCAGATTCTACAGGTAAAGGGCCATTTACCAAACACTTACCACTAAATTTTAATGCTATCACTTAATGGGTAAGATTTTAGTCAACAAAAAAGGCATCCTATGCAACAATTTACCCGGTAAGCACTAGCCGTGGTAAGAGTCGTCATTCTCATTTATCAGTTAAGACTCTCGATCCTTGCCTCTCTTACCAAATAAGATTCAATGAGATTTGTATGAGGACCTTTTTTAATAGTGTTACCAATCTCAAAAGCAGCAGTTATGGGGGCTGTTTATCAAGTATTTGTCCCTAAAACAACAACTATATAGTGTTGTTATGTTGTGCAGGTCCATAGGGGCTAATTGGGGCCTGTTTTGAAGCATTTTTGGAGCTGTTTAAGATTTGTTTCGGGGATGTTTAGAATCCGTTTATAAACTGATTTTGATCAGTCCTTTCGTCTCTATCTAGATGGATTCAATAGAGGTACATTTTGAGATAGTAGGAGTATTACTTGAGGTGTCGATCGAATTAGGATATAACATTTGTCACATAAATTTATGTTCACATTTCTCATATTACCAATTTATTCAGGTTAATAAATCGTCTCTTTATTTGATGTGTGTTTTGAAAACGTTTAAAATATGTTTAAAATCATGTGAGTCTATCCAACTAACGATCTTATAACACTAGCTAGCAATTATGGACACCTACAAGAAACCTAGTGTACTCTATATGTGAACGGGCTTATAATTGGCCCAAACCTTCCATCTTCAAATCTCTCTCTCTCTCTCGAAAGAGAGTCGCTCCCGCTTGTTTTTATGCTTGTGGAAATTTGGAACTTGGACACTTGAAAAAGAAAATTAGGATCATCAAGTCAACTCAACACCTACAGAATTCGTCTACGCATCACCAAATGGGTCCCAACGAGGAGATTCTGGTGGTCGTGGATGATAACGCCACCGACACCGACACCAACACCAACACCAACACCAACACCAATACCCATATTCATATTCCTAGCTCACCTTCTCCCTCCTCCTGCAACCAACAGGTACTTGTTTTTTGTTTTGACGAAATTTACTGATTCTATGTCTTCTAATCATTGCATGTGGTTATCGGTCTCGAAATAATAAAACATTCGTTCATTTGCTGAATATTAAATGCATGTTTTATTGATATAATGCATATTGTTATAGTCACCGCATCTTTTGGGAAATTTTCTATTGAAATAATTTTGTGCAATTTTAATGTTTGATGATATTGACATGTAAAATATTTCGCCAAACTATATTCTGTAGAAAATGATGCCTGATTTTTAAGGCTCTAATTTCGTTTCCTTATTCCCAGTGAGATATGGTGTTCTTTGATGGCAGTTGATGTTGCTGCATGTTTTTGTAGGTTCATTCCATCCATAACAGGGTTGAACTTGAAGGAGATACTCATAAACGTTATATGGTAGGAATTAGGAGAAGCCAAAATCCGAAATGAGCTACATACTCAAAAACGTCTTTGTAGGTTCATGCCATCATTGTTTTAAGTCGTGGTACAAGTAACCCAAAAAGTCAAGATTATTTGTGCAAAATGTGGTGTTGAAGCTATTTTATCTTGGTGCAGTAGAACTTAGTCAGTATCTATATATTAAGCTTTAAAGAATTGATATTACTTCTAGTTTACTTCACAAAGTGGATCAACAGGTTTGGTGATATGATGTTGCAATCAGTCCGAACTGATGCTAATTGATTCTAAAGCACCTCCTCCAGGAAAAAGGAACAGAAACACGAAAAGCTTTGAAAAAGAAATGTTTCTAAATGTATGATTGGTAAAGAACCTTACATGATAAGTCATGGAAATATTAACATTATATTGAATGTGTTCTATAGAAGTAGGAGGTGTGATTATAGTAGTTTAGATTGGGCAAAGTTCCCTAGTAGCAGATGTGAACGGAAACTCGTTGGGAGGACCAGCACGGGAAACAGCCTCATACTTTGACTTTGGACATGCAAGATAATAGCATCTCCAATGCAAGCTTCTTATAAGCAAAAAGTGAAGTGGCTTATAGGAACTACCCTCACCCTCTTTGAGTTCTTGTACAAGAATCTTGGTTCTCACCATGAAGTTTGTGTGAATTGACTCTAGTTTTTTTATATATTTTATTGACTTTATAGTTATTATTATTATATAATAATTATTGATGTTGAAACAATATATGGGACCCACAAAAAGGAGGTTCTTATAAGAACTACCATTTTGAACTTTTATGTGAGTTCTTAATTTGATGAGCTGGAGGTGAGGTGGCAACTAAAAGTGCAAAAAGGATGTTTCTGTAAGAACCTCTATTGGAGATGCTCTTAGTGGCCACAAACTTTTTATACTGTTCATCATGTCTATCCAAAAACATTTGACGCCAACTTTTTATAGTTATGGTAAGCTCCAAAATGGTCTCTGAAAAGTAATATGAGATCCTAGAATGAGGTGTATCTATTGTGAAGAACTAGCTGTCTTTGCTATCAATGACTAAAGAGGACATGAGGTCACCTTCTTGAGGAGGTGTGCAATGATGGATTTAGATATGCATCAGTCTTGACAACCTCATCAAGATCTGCAATGTCCAACCAAACTAGTTTGCTAATAGATAGGTACTATTCGTTTTCTCCATGACAAGAGAGTGAGTCCGCATCCCATCTGTATCGATGATAGAGCACCACCTAGTCCATTAGGTAAGTTTGGGTTGCAATTTTCTGAAAGAGCAGGGGTAGCAGGCATAGGCAGTCTATCTTTACAATGGATCTTCTCCTAAACAAGAAAAGTCACTAATATTGTACTGTTAGCCCTGAGGCCATCAATTCTTTTTTCATATGCTGACTTGTGAAATGATCCATCAAAGACAACCTACCATCTTAGCGATGTAAGTGACAGGGCAATATGACAGAATGAGTACTGCACCAATGCCTTGTCCAGAATGCAATAGCATTGCATTTGATAACGAAATACAAGTGGAATTTAGGCATGTCCAAAGCCAGCAGTTAAGACCAATGATTGCTCTATAAAATCAAAGGCCACATGAACATTTATTGTCAATGGGAATCAAGCCCCACTCTGTTTCTTCCACATTTTCTTTTGCATTAGGGGTCGTGCTATCCTTTTATTCAACGAGGTTTTCATAGTAGTCAGTGAGCCCAAAACTACCTTTGATAGAATGAAGGGGAAGATCCAACAGGGTAATTCAAGTCTCCACTTCTCGTGGAAATGCATCAATTTCTGACAATTCCGTTGTATCTAAGGCTTATGCAGTGTCACTGGAAATGGCTTCAACAATAATTGTTTTGCATTGTTTCTTTGGACATCCATGCAATGAGTGGCATGGTTCATGGTGCCCAAAACAAAGGTCGTTCTTCAAAGGATCTATATAATCATTGTGACTTAGCTAATTGGTTCCACGGCCAAAAGTTTGAGAGGAACATGTATAGGTTTCCATGGAGGTTAAGGATTTGGAATGAGGGGGCTGCTATCCAGTTGATAACTTGGTGTCAATGAAGTGGTCTCTTTGCGCTACAAGTTGCTGAAATTCGAAGCCTGAAAATTGTTGAAACATATTGAGGGAAAATATTGAGCGTAGTTAATATGGGAGAGAGGCTGAGAGGAGACGGATCTGCTTGTAATCAAAATGGCTTATAATGTGTGGGGCTGAGCTTGATAGTGTAAAATTAGGTATTCGAGTCATGAAGGCTAAGACTAAGGGGCCGTTTACTAAATGCATACCCAATAAGTGCTTACTGGGCCATTTTACCTTACCTGATGAACATGGCAAGGATTGAAAATCTTACCCGGAAATAGCGATGACAATGGCCGAGTCTTACCTGGTAAGTGAAGTGACGACTCTTACGCGTTGGTGCTTACCGGATAAATTGTTGCATACGATGCCGTTTTAATAGATTAGAATCTTACCTGGTAAGGTAAGTGAGAGTGTTTACTCTTATCGGCGAGCGCTTATCGGATAAGCATTTGGTAAACGGCCCCTGAGAGTACTATATATGGGTTGTGAGGCTTATCTTGATCACTTGGGGGTCGATTGTCCTCTTGTAGGGAACTGAGTAATAAGCACTTTGACCAGTTCTCTGCCAATTATACCCATCCAAGATCAGACCTTCTATGAATTCTAAAGCCCTCTTTGTGATCTCAAAGACCGGCTTTTACAGAACTGAGATTCCATAGGCCGAAACGAAGCCCTTTAAAGGTAGAATTAGGAGTCGAAGCCATGCATTTAGCCCGATTGCTAAGGCAAACATCCTTAGAGGTTGATACTTGTAGAAAGCAGCTTTAGAAGACAAATCATTTTATTTGTAGCACGTCCGGCTGACATATATACTCCAACTTGAGGAGTGGTAGAACACTATTATTTAAGCAATAGGCATGATTAGGTCATTTTGTTTTATTTATCTTTTTCCTCCCGCATTCACTTTATATATTGAGGTCCTCACAAAATAAGAGTATGCAGTTACAACTTTAAGCATATCAGCTCTATATAGCAAGCAAGAAGTTATATAGAATTAAAGACCTAAGGGTGTCTCCTTGTCTTGAACGAGAGCTCAATGCTTTCTCTTTCTCTTCTCATATATTGAAGTTTGGTTAGAATGTTAGATCTGGAACTTCTTTTTTCCTTGCATGCTTCTTTCTGGAACTTCTTTTTTCCTTGCATGCTTCTTTTTTGGATGCTATTTAGATGTATAATTATATGTTTTAAATTAGGGTAGTAATCAGTGGGGTACTCTATCGCTCGCTTACAAGTCATTAGGAGTTGTCTTTGGAGGGCTTGTGACTTCTCCGCTTTATGTCTACCCTTCAATGGCATTAAAGTCTCCAACTAAAGATGACTACATGGGAATCTACAGTATCATGTTCTGGACACTTACTTTAATTGGAGTTGTCAAGTATGCTTGTATAGCTCTGAAAGCAGATGACCAGGGTGAAGGTATGACACGTTCTTTGCATATTTGTTCCACTATAGTCATTAAGTTTTTATATCTAGGTAGTATATTGTTTTTTCAGTTGATTAATGATTATCCTTAGTCTTTTATCTTATAAGTTACAATTCAATTTACCTTATTTTATTTTTGTTTAGTTGGGTAAATTTCTCTATTCTACTCTAATAAAGTATGTTTTACTGATCTTCAGAATGGTCTCAAATGGATTCAAATTTTCTTGCGTTAGATTTTTGTCATAACATTTTATTATGCATTGGCCCAGAAGGCCTACAATGCACCATGTATCATGGTTCTACCAATACTACTGCGTGTTCTGTTCTTAATTTTCGCATAATATGATACCCATCTGCTCCTGATACTTTAACATAGTTCCTCATGGAAGCTACCTTAGTCACCTGCTGCTAGAGTCTCACCTCTGTCCCTTCTAACATGGAAGCTGTGGTGATTGACTTTATTCCACATCAGCTGCAGGTTCTTCTCTGCTGGTTGATTGGCGAACTAATACAGTCTGTCCCTTCTTTCCTGTTCTGTTTGATCTTTTTTCCTTTTACTCTACCAGAATGTACCATATGAATTAAGGGTTTTCTCTCTTAATGAAATAAAATATTGTAACTCTATTGGTTGCAAGTAATTATAGAAGTCGACTATGCTGATCCAGGGACCATATTTTACTTTGTATCTTTTGTTATATGATGTTTCATTTAAGGAGCAGACCAAGGTGAAAAAGCAGCTAGACCCGGAGAGTTATGAGTGTTGCTGCTTCTGGTTGTGTGTATATGTTCTTTTCAAGCCTTTTCTTTTCTTCATATGGATATGTGAAACAATGACATGATTAGACACATTGGACACCAACCTGCTCTGACACACTCCACATACATGTGGAAGCATTTTCTAAATTCTGCATATGTTTTGAAGTTCGATATGTGGAGGACTAGTACAGGATATATTTACGATCATTTGGCTGAAAAATTGAACACTGGGAGAGATAAATTGTGTACTTACTAACTCTATGGTTTTAGAGTCTTGATTTGTAATGATTTATGAAACCATGTAAATACATTGTTACTTTGTATTTTCTGACTTCTGTTAAGATGACTTAGCAATCCATTTTCTGAATCTCAAACTAGAAGTTCTTGACCATATACGAACCTTATCACAAGAAATGAAGATATAAAGAAAAATTAGAGCAAGGAGCAAGGAAAGTGAGATAAAACTAGGACAAAAACCCATGTGCTGGTTTACGGTTCTTGCAGTTGTGGCTACTTTTGTTTTCTGAATCACCCCTGTCAAATAGATGATGAAGTCAAACCATCTTTTCCTTCTCCAACTTTTGACTGTAAGTGTGAGGTTTTCACGATAGCCCTTGCATAGTTTTGTGATGCTAAATGTAACATTGACATTTTTCAAACCAAGTTATTTAACTGAGAAAAAATGAAACAGGTTTGTGTTATTCAATATTTAGAATCATATTATAATTTCAAAATTTCAGAATATTAAGTATATATAAGCACAGGCAATAAGAGATTGTATTATGTATCGTACAACAGATATTATGTTTTTCCATAAAATAGTATGTCACATATTCATCTCGTGGCATATCTGATATCCAGTGTCTATATTGGTTCTTCATGGTCTTTTGGTTAAACCAACATCCTTTTAATCATTGTGACAATTTTGCTTCTTTGTTACAATGCCGTATTTTATTTTATATCATTGAACCATCACATTGGCATCTTTATTAATTGCTCAAACTTGGAAAGATTGTTAAATTAAGGAGCACTAACAAATGAAAAGGCTCAGATGGTCATAAGGAGGAGATTGTCCTATCATATTTCATAGAATGTTTTGCTTAAGGCACAGCTGATTATGGAACATGATTTATGTAGCTGCCTAGATTAACGTGCATTGATGTGACGTGAAGATGTTGCACAAACTAGTTCTGTTATCTAAATGGAATTTCTTTTTCTTATTCTCCATATCAAACGCATGATGATTCACTACATATGCTTTGGATCTTTTTGATGAAAATTCAGAGGATTGCAAGATATACCAAGAAAATCAGAAGCCTTTTGGATTACGGATAACTGATATGAGAAACCCCTTTGATAAGTTAGAATTGGGAAAATTATGAACTTGATTCTTCCCTTGATAAACAGGAACCATGACAAAATATTATTGAGCACCTCAATGGAACTGAAGTGCTAATTGTAAATCCATTCTAGACCAATTTTAATTAATTGACAGTCTATCTGAATCTACTTAACTAATTGCTCAGTCGAAGCTTAATGATGCTAACAGAATATGAAATACTAAGTGGATGTAAGAACTAAATACTAACAAAGGGTGCCTAACACTTCCCACCATAAATTGCAACTGATCTAATGTGCTTAGAAGCATATACAGAAACTAGCTGACAATGTTCAAGAAACTAGGACATTTTAATCAGGCTAAAGTATAAGAATGTAATAGTTGTGAGCTCCTAAAGAAGAATTAAATATCCAGAATGGCATCTGGTATCTAAGAAAGGTAATTGGGGTTCCCTGATTCCAACAGATTTGGTGTTCTGTTCTGTCCAATCCAAATGCCCCACACCATGAAGAAGAAAAAAAGCATTGCCGGAGACTCTCATTTACCGTTAGACTGATGATTTCTTGGCTTGCATGAGAGTGTTCTATACTGAATCCAATCTTTTTGTATTTTTTTCCTTTTTGTGGTAAGTTCTTTGTTCTGTGTTACAAATTGCTGCAAATGTTTCAAGAATTTGGGGTCATGGTGGGAGAAGTTTTGACTCATAATTGATGTGCTTGCCAGGTGGTACGTTTGCTCTGTATTCATTACTTTGCAGGCACATGAACATTGGAGCTATTACTTCAAGAAGTGTCGCTTTACAATCAAACCTTTCACATGATGACTTGCATCAAGGCTCAAAAAGGAGAAGTAGGCTTGGGATGTTTATCGAGAGGAGTTTGATTGCCAGAAGGGTATTGTTTTTCATAGCAATACTCGGCATGTGTATGCTAATTGGTGATGGGATACTCACCCCCGCCATCTCAGGTTTGCTTGCATATAACTCATACCCAATTTGTATCAAATATTTTTCCACTCTCGTGGGCAGACGGCACCTTTAGACCGTAAGCCTGTGAAAAAGAGACATCTATTTTCTCATAGAATTGAGGGTGCCAATAAAGACATCATTCTAGTTACATCGTATTATGACCTTGTGTTTTCTTTCCAAAATTGTAAGCAGTGTTGTCAGCAATGGATGGTATCAGGGGTCCTTTTCCAGAATTCAGCAAATGTAAGTTAAAATGCATACAGACTCCTTTAGTTCCCTTGAAAACAATCCATCGATTTCTTTGATCTTTTTTTGTTCCATGTGTGGATTCCATTAGTAAGACATGTTCCCAATGTCTGCTTGCAAAGCTGATATTATTTTTGGTGGTTGTTCACAACTTAAGCTTTTTATAAATGGTTCAGGTTATTCGTAGCGCCAAATATTTGGTCACAGACTAGTGAGCATGACCCACTATCTTATGTAAAGCTTTTGACTTGAGGAGGTTATGAAATTGCTCTTTTTTCTCTATTTGGGATGCTTCAAGCAATAGACATGTTATAAAAGATATTAGAATAACTTAGGATCAGGTTGGGGCTTATCTTTCTTGTTATGTTAACTGAATTAATGTTTTCTTTCAAACTGACTGATTAAGTTGAATAAAGTGCATCAATGCTTTGCTTTCAGTTTACTTAACCTGTTAACCACTTGCCTCACAAATTAAATAGCTCCTCATCTTCTGTTTATGATTTTTGCTTGTCAATTTTCAGCTCTGATCGGGGCCCTCTCTGCATTAGTTCTCATTGTTCTGTTCATGCTTCAAAAATTTGGTACTGCAAGAGTGAGCTTTCTCTTCTCCCCCATCATGGGAGTATGGACATTGACTACTCCCATTATTGGTATTTACAACGTCATACGTCATTACCCTAGTATTTTCAAGGCAATATCACCGCACTACATCTTCCAGTTCTTCTGGAGGAATGGTCATGAGGGTTGGCTGTTGCTTAATGGCACGATCCTTTGCATAACTGGTGAGTTTTATCACCTTTGGTATCATATATCAGAGAGATCCTTTGACTAGTCCTTCAATATTTATTTCCTTCAGTACTGCAACATATCTTGCTAGCCCAATTGAAGCCCCACCTTTTTTTACCAAACCACAACACTACAACTTGTTTAGGTAGAAACTTCAGGACGATGAACAGTTCATTCATTATAACATGTTCAATGTTCTTAGCACCACACCTGAAGCAAATCTTACAGGGTTTCTGACTGTTATGCTATGCTAAAGTCGTATATGTCCTTCAATATCTGCTTCCATGGTCATCATTACAGCTTATTTGTCTTTATTGCGCCCTCTGTCTTAAATTTTAAATGAGTCTTATGGCTTTTGATTTTGTCCTCAAATTTAAAAAGCTTTATGGGTTTTCAACCTTTTAAGCAATTTTCAGATAATTTTTCTTGTTTATTTACATTTCATATTATCTCTGCACTTTTTCTTTGATAACTTACATCTCGACCTCAAGGTCTATTTTGTGTAATTCAGAGCATGTTTTACATAAAGCACATAATTTCTCAAGTGTCTCTCTTTAATTCTATTGAGACATAATCCTTTAGATGTGTAACGACAATTTAAATTTTTGCTCCCTTAAGTAATATATGAAGTTTAGAGAGAATGAGAGTCCGTATATTTTATATCGAATAATGCATGAGGTATTCACACAAGAGTAGAGAGCTAAATTGGGAAGGTAGTTAAGTCTAAGTCCTTATGATAACGCTATGTACAATCTGTAACACTTCCCTTAAAAAGCTGGAGCATAGGTATTGATTATGGCCCACTTGTTACGAGCTGATTCCTAGGTAATGTGCTGGTGAACACTTTGGCTAATTGACTCTATGTACTAAAATGTGGAGCTGTGATTGTTCCATCCTTTAGCTTTTCCCAAGTGAAATGACAGTTGACTTCTATATGCTTGATTCTTTCATGGAACACATGATTGTTTGCAACATAAGTAACTGACTCGTTTTCATACCCCAATTCGTTAGTTTAGAGCAAGAAAACCAATTTCACCAAGTAAATGATGTACCTATATAAGTTCACAAATGGTTTCTTCCATAGCTGATAGCCCTATATTTGGTTTTATGCATTTCACCTGGATATAACATTGTGTTTCTTACTCTTCCAAGAGACGAGATGTTGGGGATTTTCAACAAACATCATGGTCCCTATCTAAGAAAAACGTGACCCAGCGCAAAATTCGAATAGGAATGGGATTACTAGTTTGTCCAACATGTAATCGTAAACAATAATGTGAAAGCAGCAAACAATGCAACTACAGAAGCAACACATGGTATTTGATTTCACCATCAATTTGATAGTGTACGTCTGCAGTGAACACAAGATGATGCATTTTACTAACAAATAAAGGGTTACAACAAATGCTTAGGAAATGAGAATATCCTACTGAAATGGCAGCCAAATCTTCTATTTCGAATTGGAGAGGAGGACAAGTGTGCAAATCGTATTTCCATATTGTAATGTGTTCTCTTGACCTAATTCTCTAAATCAACCCAGATCACGACTTCGTGGGCGAGCACTAAGTCACATCGATGCTCTCCCAGTCTTCCAAACCTCAACCTTTTCAAGAAGTAAGCGACTCAAATTTGCTTGCACAAGTCCTGTATGGCTAAGCGACTTGCACGCGTGACTTCTAGCTCATGAGTCCATGTCGCACGCTATGTTGCGAGATTTGTCTATCTTTCTACACATCTTGCAAAATGAATTGCAAGCCACGTATACCCAATTGTTGTGTATGGCAAAATTAATTTCCAAATATTTTTACAACTTATCCGAATGTTACTTGTACATATTTAACTTCTTTTATTAAACTTCTCATTAAAACATGTTAGAGCAATGATAGCCACAAGTCAATTAGCCAAGTACCCTCCTCAGAGAACAGCTCTGATTCATGTATTATATTCACTGTGTGAATGAGAATTACATCATCTAGGCTTGGTGTAAATCCAGCGAAAGAAAAAGACCCACTCTTAACAGAAAAAGCAAGAACCAATCCCAATGATACAGGCGGTAATTGGTGGTCCAGTATCAATGTTTAATATAGACACATTTTTTTTGTAATTTTACTCCAGTTGAATGGTCCTCCAATGCTGGACCAGATACACACCTGCTGATAGTTGGTTGCCATTGAGCATAATTCCTATTGCAAGTTGATTTTCTATCTGTAATTTTGGAAGATCAGAAAGTAACTTAAGTAACTGTGTTTTTATTACTACCTTCAGCCATTTTATATTAATACCAAATAGTCAACAACTTACACAACAGTAGGCACATATAATGAGTGTGAAGGAAAGCCACCCTCAAAGCACTGAAATAGCTAGAAAACAAGTACAACTCCAACTATGTTTCCCAAAGGAAACCTAGGATTGCCACACAGCCAAATTCAAAGTATTTCTTTTGCACTTCTTGGAATAAAATATCCCAGTCATTGGCTCTGCTACCATGAGGTTTAGAGTGAATGAGAAGAATCTGTATATATTTTAAAATGAATAATACAGTAGCTAAAGTAGGAAAGTTTTTAAGTTAATCTCTATGGTAAGCCTTTGATAATGGTATGTATAATTTGTAACAATGTACTATATAACTTTTCGTTATATAAAAACATTAATGGAAGGCTTCTTTTTTACTTTAGGTTGTGTAAAATGATCATTTATAGTTTATGGGGAGAGTATTTGATTTTAAACAACATATATTGATAACTAAACCGGACTATGTTTTTATTCCTTCCTATAATCAGGTTCTGAAGCTTTGTTTGCTGATCTTGGTCATTTTGACAGGCCATCCATTCAGGTATTCTGTTTCTATTTGGTTATCATTTGTTTAGTTACAAAAAAGGTGCTCCTAACACTCCCTGGCTCCTTACAGATCACGTTTTTATCCCTTATATACCCATCATTGATCCTAACTTATGCGGGACAGACAGCTTACTTGATTCAGCACCCAAATGATCATGAGGATGGGTTTTACAAGTTCATACCCAGAGAGGTATATTGGCCAATGTTTGTTATATCCTCTTTGGCTGCTATTGTTGCCAGTCAATCTCTGATATCGGCCACCTTTTCCGTTATCAAGCAATCTGTTGTATTGGATTATTTCCCTCGGATCAAGATTGTGCATACATCCTCCAGCAATGAAGGCCAGGTTTACTCCCCAGAAACAAACTATGCTCTCATGGTTTTTTGTGTTGCTGTCATACTTATTTTTGGGGACGGAAAAGAAATTGGAAATGCCTTTGGTATGTTTTCTCAATTCTTGCAACTCAGATTTGCCAAGTGGATCACATTACATTTGCACAATTAGCATCTTTCATTTGTATACACATTCATAGGGGTTAATGTATTGTGGTTATATATTATTTCATACATCCAAGCAAACTGTTGAACATATGGCTGAACCTATTGACTATAGATGTAAAGAAAAATTAAAACCATTCTAGACAACAGCTTTTCTGGGAAACGTTGGAGTAGGGAGTTGAATAGATAAGGAAACAAATTAAGTAAGTTCTGACATGTGAACATTTTCTTGAACCAGGAGATTTGTGTAAAAAATGTGATACTTTGCCATTTTTTGATGGGACAAATTGCATGAAAATTCAACGTACCTTTGTCTGATTTCTATTTTGATTAACTTACTTTCAAGAGCTTAATTTTGGTACTTAGTGTGATATCTCAAACATTAGACCAAAGTATGTTACACGAAATAGGAATTCCATCCAAGTATGTTTTATTTGTGTTCTCAGATATAAAATAGGTACCTAAGTGTGTGTTTGGTAGGTGGATAGTACTGCCATTTGACATATGAAAATGAGGTAGGCGGGTGAAAGAATTGTGGAAGGTTTTTTATGGTTTTAATTGACATGGGTAGTTTAGTAATTTACCAACCTTATCTCATCTCCCTTGTTCTTTTTCCTCTATTTTTGGTGGGACAGAAAAAAAATGCATTTTGTACCACTCGGTGCTTTCCTGTCCACCAGTCTAATGAAGCACGTGACATGAGACAATAAATTATTTTATTGTCACGTCCGATATACCAAAATGAAGATTTTGAAAGTAGTTGCATAAAATAAGAACTGGAATTTACTCTTTTCCGGTTACAGGTCTTTTGCTGTAACGGTATTATTTGATTACACCCGATTCGTTTCTTCTCGTTTTATAGCATGTGCTTATTATGCAACGTCAATTGCAGGTGTTGTTATTATCCTAGTCATGCTCATTACCACTCTATTACTAACATTGGTTATGATCGTGATTTGGAGAATTCCCGCATTTCTGGTTGCTCTCTTCTCTTTTGTCTTCTTGACAATTGAAGGTCTCTACGTGAGCTCCGTTTTCACCAAAATCAAAGACGGTGGATGGATTCCTTTTGCCATTTCATTGATCCTTGCTTTCATCATGTTTGGATGGTTTTATGGCAGACAGAGAAAGATGGAGTACGAGTTAACCCACAAGATAAATACCGAAAGGCTTAAAAGTTTGCTTTCTGATCCAGGCGTCCAACGGGTTCCTGGACTCTGCTTCTTTTACACCAACATTCAAGATGGGTTCACCCCAGTATTGAGTCATTATATCAAAAACATGAGATCCATTCATAAGGTAACCGTGTTTACGACACTAAGGTATTTGTTGGTTCCTAAAGTTGCACCCAACAAGCGGATTGTCGTAAAAGGATTGGGACTCAAAGGGGCTTACGGGTGTTTGATTCAGTACGGATATGCAGATTTGCTTAGTCTTCAAGGAGACTTTGTTTCTCAAGTTATTGCTAGCTTGCAGGATCATATAATGCAGCAATTTACTGAGAACCCACCGCTGGAGGAGCAAGAAATGACGGATTTAAATGAGGCACAACATGCTGCGGTGGTTCATGTTCGTGGGAAGACGAGATTTTATATAAGCAAGAAGTGTACGTGGTTTGATAGATTCATGCTTGCATTTTATGAATTTATGCATAGTAATTGTCGGTCTGCGCTTCCGACGTTAGGAGTGCCGCTTCAGCAGCGTATCGAGGTCGGAATGTTTTACGAGGCGTGAAGGTAAACTAGTTTGAACTTCTGTTCCTAAAGCAAAAGCAAAAAAGATCGGGGCCATACCTGACGGTGTTCCAATTTGAATTATGGAATTGGTTTTGCACGGGCCCCAATTATACATGTTTTAGCATTTACTTAATTATATACTAGTTGTGTACCCGCGCAATGTGGCGGGAGCCTTGAATTTTAACGATTTTGAAGTTTCACTCATTATTAGAGAAGATTTAACAATGATATAAGTTACACATGGTCTTTACATATTAATACAATTTGAATAAATAAGAGTTATGGTTCCAATTACAGTCTATCAATAAAAAAAAAAATTGTATGACAGTTTAAAATCCAATATATTTAAACGACTTTACAAATGTGTTCGATTTACACCAAGAGCAAATAATGAAGAGATCGAGACCGAGAGTTCTAGAGCAATTGAATGAAAAATGAATGAGAGAACTTTTAATAACTTTTGGTGAATTAGTTTGAATCTCACCATGGAGGATGGGGAGAAGACATAGAGGTATGAGAGGGTGAAGGCATGAGTGAAAGGTGTCAAAAGTATCTTGGGAACATGAAAAGAAAATGTAATAATGTGCATTGGTAACTTGTACTATATGTTATTTTAATTGTAGATTAAGATATTTTAAGACTGAATGTATAAAATAATAGTACTTAATGCATTATGAGTTGTTTTTAAGACTTTAAGCATAAATGTATAGTGTTTTGTGCATTAAAAATTGCTTTTAAGACTTTTGACAAATTTAGTTTATAAGATAGTATAGATGTTTCAACTTTCTGCTGAATTATAAATGTTTTAAGCTTTACTCTTTAGTCGATTTTGCGATTCCTGATTCCGGCTTCTGAAGAATGTTAACATGACATTTTTGTTATTTCAATTTGGTATGAATTTTTAGATTTTGTTGCATTTTTTACTTGATTATTTGATACGCAGACGTTTTGGCTCTAAAGATAGAATGGCCCCTAATGTCTTGAAGTTTTGGGCTAATTTTGTCTTAAAAACTCAGTTTTTGTGGTGAAGCAATGAACTAGAGAACGGCTGTGATACCATATTACTCCATGATTTTTTGATCGTTTATGAGCCTTTAACAGATTAATTTGTCGAAAAGTTGTTTTTTTGTTGTAAACAAGGCGAATGCTTATTAAAAATGCATGACTCTGCTAGGTGATAACACGATGTATAGAGTCTTAGGCCTTGTTTGTTTTTTTAAAAAAGCTTTTATTAGTTTCTGTTGATCCTCTCTCTCAGTGATTTGATGATAATCCCTTTTTCCTTTCGATGTATTTCTGTGTCTGTAATTTCAGTTCCAGCGATCATACACTGAGCTTGTTCAGT